GGAGAGAGAGAGAGAGAGGAAAGCGGAAGGCTGCTGCCTTCCCGAGCGAACACCCCGGGAGAACTCTACGTTCTTCCGGTGACGCTCAATTATTACTCGTGCGCGGACCAGGTCAATCTCGGGCTACTTTAAATTACTTACTCGGCGCGATATTCCGAAGGGAGGAGAAACTTCGTCGTGGCTCTCCTCGGGGAAATTTCGTACGACAGATCGAAAACTAATTCGTCGCGCGAGGATCAAAACTTAGAGCGGAATGTTGCGGACGATGAACGGAACGAGACGCAGCGGGATAATAGAAATGCGCGACGCACGGGAGGAAAATCGTGCCACTGATCGGAATTTTACGGAATCGTTTATTATGTGACTGTGAAACGTTCGCTTCGAGCACATAGCAAATGTTGAATGAGAGGGAGGAGAACAGCCCTTTGCCAATCTACCCAGAGTTACGTTATGCGTCGGCTAGAATAGCGAATGACGCGACGATTTGGCGCACGAAACAAGCGGCGGAAATTGCCAGTTAGTTGAAGGTTCGATTTTTCGGAGCAAATACTGATCGGTTCGCAGGACGCTGTGCGGTGATGGTAACGAAAAGTGGCGGAAAAGGGGAGGCGGAGAGCAAGAGGGATAGAGTGAGCAAGAGGGAAATGTGACCTGCGTGGGATGGTTAGAGAGCCCAACGTAGGAAATGAGATCTACAAGTGAGGGAACTGGACGAGCGCGGGTGCACTGTCGAAATGCAATTTTCATCCAACTGCAGCCGCAGCAACTACAGCTGCTGCCATGCCGACCAATTCTCTCTCCGTTCTCTTCTCTCCTCATCTATCTATAGTTTTTTTTTCCCCGCCATACCGCATCGCCATTTCCTCGATATGTTTACCGGATTGATTGCGTTCGCGTAGACAAATAATCCGATATTACGATGAAACACAATCCGAGCGCGATGTCGCAAAATGCATCGCGACACGTTAACGCTCGCGCGTACGCAACATGTACAAAGAGCAACGGTTCGATTTATCGGTTCGCCGCAGATGATTGCCGGATGATGAATCGCGTGACGCATCACGAAAATACGCGCCGCACAAGTTTGCAGCGAGAAGCGCGTTTATTTTTCCGACAGATTATTTTTTATGCCACGATGACTCTCGTCGTGCCAGGCGGGATAACGAAATTTGCGAAGTACACGTAGGAGCAAAAACGCGCAGAGAGGAATTAAAGGAACATAGACCAAAAAGAGATGAAGGCGAAAGATAGAGAAAAAGAGAAAGACGAAACAGGGAGAGAACGAAACAGAAAACACGAACGACTGGTTACCACTTCATCTCGAGCGCAGTCGAGCTGCGGCTAATTAATGCACTTTTGTCGGTTTGCTGCGGACCCTGGCTCGCGCTGTGCGAGGGAAAACACGACGGGAAAAAGGGTCGCCTATAGTGGTTGAAATAGCAGACAGAAGAGCCTGCATGTGGTAATAAGATTGCATTGCACCGACTATCCTCTTATAATATTCCGTGTGCTATACTTTGCATGAATGCAGATTAAATAAGTGAAAGGCAGATTGTGATGATATAAAAGGCATTTGAGAAAAAGAGATAATTATATAAAATGATGTAATTATTTTGAAAGATTTCTGTGATAATGTTAGTCTATGAAAAACTAAGGCAACAAACAAGTATTTGGCAAGTTGGTTAAAAAAATGCAAATCATGGATTTGCAATTATATTGTACCGACGGCGACTTTATGCATTAATTTACCGTCGCCTGTATCTCGAAGATGAAAGAATTACTAAAAAGTTACAGAAGATACGAAGCCGAAAGTTGATTAAAATTCCTCAGTAATGCTGAAATTTATAAATAAAAATCTTTTTAATTACTTTTCCCCCCCTTCGTTGTGATATTCTCTATAAAAGTTATAAATCCGCGCTGGACACAGGTATGTGTATACTGTGACGATACATTCTTTCACAAAGCAACACATTCATATTCATGAATTCATGTTTGATCTCTGCTGATTCGTAAGTTTTAAAAAAAATGATACGTAAGCGCAAAATAAAATAAGCGAGAAATTTTTTACAAAATTTATATTGGCAGTGATAAATCCTTGTAAAGCGATTATTCGCAATAGCGAATATTCGATCATCGATTATTCAATACCAGAAAAATGTAATTTTATTGACCAAGTATCTCATCGCACAGATATGTTGTAGTTACACTTTTTTAGAATATATCATGACAAGCACATGTTAGAATCATGCAAATGTGCAGTTTGTACAGATGGTCGTTTACTAATTCGTCGATGCGAGAAGCTGTCGGAAACGTATGTATGACTCCGCGCATTAACCACATACGAAGCAATAACACCGCGAGTTGACGATTATCTGATCCGCTGTTTAAACAACTATCACACTCAGATAAGTTTGACTCGAATGCAAATGCTCGAACACCACTTTCTAGATAATTTTGTTTATTTGAGTAAACCGTATTTGTGCAATCAGAATATTTGTTTTACAGTAAATTACACGAAGAGTTTTCTCGCAATATTGTAACCTATTTGTTTTTAGTACTATTATTTTTTAACAGCAAAACTCGCCGTTACATTTATTTAAATAAAGCGTAAAGAGTAAATTGTAAGTTACTGCCAATATTCAAAATATTTTGTATATACATATACCTATTACATCATGTGTATATCAATAATATTTTTAATCCCTAAAAGTGCTTTTAATTTTCACTCTATGTTGAGATGATACTAGGTGCGCAACTAAGTTTCCGGGTTTCACACATGAATGGCGCTAACGATACATGTAGTCGATATACATGTCTAAAGTTGTGTTTTTTTATTAACTTGGACATCTGTCAACAATAACCAGTTATAATACCAACACATATCGCAACGCAAAAAATTTTTTTTCTAACAATAAAGATGTCGAGTTTTGTGCCAACTAAACAGCATTTGCGGGAAGCTTTGCTTTTCTGCTTCAACTTGAAAGA